GCTGATGACACCAAGGTCTGGGGTTTGGTTCCTGTTCCTGTACTGGACAACAAAAAAAACCCAAAAAACAATAAAACCTGGCCGAAGCAAACAAAGAAAGTTTGAGAACTGCTGTAGTGCTTTAGATATTTATTTTTATGCTATATTCTACCTAACTTAATCATCTAGCAACTAAAATTCTCCTTAAGAATCTTAAAGTCTCTTAAAATGATATTCTACCCAAGTTTGGAAACCATAGCCTAAGCCACTGGCTTGCGAAAGCAAGGCTGACTTACCATTTTCCTGTGTCAGGAAATATTGTTCCTCCTAACCTAAAGCGTTCACGAAATCAAAATGATTTGAGTTCCTTAATTCTGTTTGTGTTTTTAATGTCAGGAGACAAGGTAAACTTGGTAAAGTTTATCATCTCAGAATTCAGTCATCCTTGACTGATCATTTTTTCTTTTATGGAAGTATTACTGGTTGATTCCTGGACTTAAGTATTTTCAACTTCTTGACAAACTATGCACTGTATTATGAACACTGTGTTAAAATTACAGTATGGAATAAAAAATAACTTATCATTTTCTCCTCCTCTAAATTTATTCCAAATTGTAGTTTTAGTTTTTATCCATCATACTGTATTTAGGTTGTAAAAATACCAGATAAAGACTATACCAGTGTTAATTTTTTTTTTTAATTTTACAATTGTCATTAGGTAATTTATAGTTGAATGTTGTTAGACTTTTGATTTGCATGTTATGGAATTGTATTTTTACTCTTCTAAAAAGTGGACTTCAGTAATGTGTTAGACTTGCAGAATAGGATCCTTGTCCAGGATGCTGTTCTTATTTTACCTTTAAGCATTCTTTACAGTCTAGAGTGATAATAGTTTTACACTATAGAGGTAAAACTGGGAACATGTCTAGGTGAAATTTATGTTGTTTATGTGGCTACAGAAGTTAAAGCTTGGCTCTCTAAAACATTTTTTATTTAATGTTTAAAATACTCTCTGGTACCCAGATGAAAGAGAAATAAACAATTCTGCCATTAGAGAGCGCTTTCCCCTATTCACTAGGAACTATCATCTTACTTTCCCAATGACCTACTTTTTTTCTTTCTGTCTTTCTATATTTTTCACAGTCTTATGATAACTATCATCTTGTGATATGTTTCTCACACCTTTAGAGGGAACCGGTTAGAAATAAAATTATTTCACTTTTGGCTTCATAGTATGTGGATGTCCTTGTTAGATTTAGGTGTAGATCTTCAAAAGATGCTGTTGTCAAAGACCTAATGTTAATCTATCTTTGTTTCTACATCCTTTTCTAGAATTGACTCTATCCTTAAGCTCATAGTTTATTTCAAAATTGTTTGCTACTTAAATACTTACAATTCTGTGCATTTTTCGGCCCTTTCTGCATCCTTCTGTGGTTGTGACATTGGTATGATTCTCCTTTCCCCACAATTCTCATGCCTCCCACATTTCTTTCTGTAGAGAAATTTCCCACCTGAAGTTTCTTTTCTTGTCCTATGCCTTTGAGTCACATTACATCACATAAATAAGGGTTGACACATGAAGTTTTAAATACTTATTTTTATCTGTATTTAATTTTTTTTAATGTGGGCCTTCTGAGTACATAATTATCTTTCTGCTATCGAAGTGTTTATAGTTCTTTCATTTTGGCAAAGTTCTATTAGAATTTATAGTACTGTCCAGTTGGTAAAATCAGTAATCTTAGCACTGTACTTATATTAGCTGTGCATGAAGAATGACTTAAAGATACACAAGAAACTGTTGAGAGTGGATGCCTCTGAAAAGTGAGTTATAAAAATCAGGTGGAGAGTGGAAATTTTCCTTCACTGAAACAATTCAGAAGGGCATGCACTTTTTATATTTAGAGTGTATCACTTTTATAATAATTTTGTTTTTAAAGAGACGTGGCATGTTAGAGCCAATGATCTAGAATCTAATTCTGGTCAGACCCCATTTTAATAAATGAGAAAACTAAGGCTTATAGAGATGGTTATTTATAGATCACATAGTGGCAAAGCCAAGGCTGAAGCACAGGCCTCCTGACTTCTATCCAGTGCTCTTTCTTTTTTTTTTTTTTTTTTTTTTTTTTTTTTTTTTTTTTT